TGTAACTGTGAAAAGGTCACGAACTGATATAAATGGCAAAATCAAGAATGTGACGTTGTGCTGTGACAGAGGTGGCTCTTACAGGAATAGTTTGAACCTGACAATTGATTTACATCGTAGACAGATAGCTTCAAGACTTTTGAATTGTCCATTTGAGCTTTTTGGGACAAGACGTAATGATGTTTGGTATCTCGAGATTTGAAATTCTGAGCACAATCATGAAGTGTCAGAGGATATGTCTGGTCATCCAATCGCTCGCAGGTTAAACACTGAGCAACAAGAACAAGTTTAGCAAATATCTGCTGCTGGCTCCTAGTCTCGTCAAATTTTGTCAACCATTCAGCAGAGCGATCCTTCTTCTATGACCATATCCAGAACAATCTACAATACTTTATATTCTATTTGTTAAGAAAGACTTGATGGTTGTACCCCAACCCAAGCCCTTCTTGATGAATTGCAAAAATCTGACTTCGAGTTTGAATATCAATGTGATCATCAAAATTGCATTACACATCTTTTTTTTGTGCACAGAATATTCATTTTCTTGACTCGCATCTACCCTACTGTATTACTTTTGAACTGCACGTACAAAACAAACAGATATCAGATGCTTCTATTAAACGTTGTTGGTATAACAAGCTTTAACACGACGTTCTTTTCCTGCTTTGCTTTTCTGAACGATGAAAAAGAAGCGAGTTACGAATGGGCTTTGACTTGTATTTTGAGGATATTCAATGGATTATTTCACCCTAATATCATGGTTACTGATCGAGAATTAACACTGATGAGAGCTAAAAGTAGAGTCTTTCCCAATACTCAATATCTTATATGCATTTGGCATATAAACAAAAACATTTTGACCAAGTGTAAGCATCACTTTACTACAGAAGAGCATTGGACTGAGTTCATGGAAATGTGGCAAGCGGTCACGGTATCTGTCACTGAGCAAGACTTTACAACCCAATGGAATGAATTTTTAAAACACTACGAGAACAAACCCAATGTCCTGCAATATCTTCAAGAGACCTGGATATCATATAAGGAGCACTTTATTTCTGCCTGGGCTGATCGTTACTTGCATCTCGGTAACAAGACGACTTTACGAGTGGAAGGTTCACATGCTGTTCTTAAAAAGTGTTTGCAGACATCTACAGGTGATCTTGAGTCAGTATACTGTAAGATCGTATTGCAAGTAGAATCTCAAGCAAAGGAAATTCGTGCAATGATCTCTTCTGAGCTTATGAAAGTAGGACATGTGTACCGGATCACTCTGTTTGAACCTCTTTTGTATCACGTATTCATTTTTGCTTTGAAGAAGATTCGTGATGAATGGATCAAGACATCAAGTACAACTCAAGATTCACCTCTGAATTCTTGCACAGGGATCCTCAGGTTCACAATTGAACTTCCATGTTCGCATATCATCAGCGAACATCTATTAACTGGTCAAGCATTGGAGCAAGTTGACATCCACGAGCACTGGTGGATCCAAGGCTGTCATTTTGAAATATTAGGAGATCTTACACACCATATCGATGATAATCACATTGATATACAGCCTCTTCTGGAGTCTCTTGCGCAGCAGTACCAATTCTGGTCACCACACCAGCAAACAGCTATTCGTGCACAGTTGGAAGAGCTGATGCATGCACCTCCTGTTGTGCCAGAAAATTCTGCTATTAGTAGATCATGAGGAAGACCAGTTGGAGCAAGAAACTGAAACCAAGGATCGATGCAAAGGGATCCGTCTGAATTTGAGATCGTTGAAAAATGACAAAGATAGTGTGGTAGATGTCATCAAACTGACCATAATAGCTGAACATGTCCTAATGTGTGAATTTGTGATTCCGTAAAATTCTTTTTCTTTTGTTTCTAGTAAAAATCGCGTTTTTTAATTTTTATACTGTTATCTGTTTTCCTTATTTTTGCATTTTTGCTTGCATCAAATTTGTCATAATAACATGTTAAAGAGATAGGATTAAAAATACCTTAATCTGAGTGAAATTACAAATAATTATAGTAAAACATATCCTATCACTCTGACACGTTATTATGACAAATTTGACACAAGCACCTTATTGTTTCCTCTGTTCATTTCACTTAAATTATTTTATTGTTTCCTTTGTTCGTTTGATAATTAAAAGTTAATAATTATTGCGAAACCTGTAAAAAGTGATTATGGTGTAACTTGCATGTGATTGTTATGGATCACGTGAACACGTGATTCTGAGTCAAGTGATTTGGAACGGTTATAGAACTGACCCAAACTGACCCATTTTGAATCACGTGGAGAGGTGCCAATAACAAAAATGGGGGGTGCCAATAACAATTCTCTAAATATAATATATATCAACAAATCAATAATTAACATCGATTATGATTGTATTATCCAAAATGAAACTGCTTTCCAACAATATCCATTGGTAATTGATATTAACATTCTAACCAATCATTCTTTAGCATGATTACATTCGAATACTAACTATACGTATTGGCAATCGATTGCAAATCACTTCAATTGGCAATCAATTATCAACATCCCAACTGATTAACATTGATCATGATTACAAATGATTGCAAACTATTCTCGTTGGAAATCGATTGCCAACCATGTATATTGGCAATCGAGCATCAACAACCCACTGATTAGCAACGATCGTGATTGCAATCGATTGCAATCAATTCTCACTAGTAATCGATTAGTTACCTTATACATTGGCAATTGATTATCAACACCACCACTGATTGGCATTGATCGTGATTGCAATCGATTGCAAATGAAACTTGTTGACAATCAATTGCTGACAATTTCCATTGGCAATCGATTATCAACACACTATCATTTTCTATTGCTAGCGGTTACAATTGATTGCTAACGATGTTCTTCGATGATTTTTGAACGCAATCGATTGTCAACGATTATAATCGATTTTAATCGTTGACAATCGATTATAATCCCTATCGATAATGAATGATGGGGATGTTGATAATCAATTACCAATGAGTATGGTTATAAATCGATTGCCAACGGATATAGAAATTTCCTGATGTACGTTACGATTAAGGTTGCTTGCTGAAATCCCTTAGTGACTGTCTAAATTCTGTCAAAATTATAATAAACTATTAGTAAATAATCCGTCAAAATTCTGACGAATTTTAAAACCCGTCGTAACTGAAATTATGTCGAAATTCTAATTAACAATTAGTGTGTAACCCATTGAAATTATGATGATATTTTTCTGAAAGAATTTAGGCAAGCATCCTTAGCTATAAATTCTATTTTTTTGAGTTAATTGCAATATTATTGAATACTCATGTTAATAGATAATTTTTTCAAATATAAATTTTGTAATAATAACAGCTTTTTTATTGAATATTATTTTTGGTTTAAATTGTTTTATTAGATAATCTATATTAATAATTAAATATTAACTTTTTTATTAAATTTGTTGATATAATTAATAAAATTTATTATAATATAATCAAATAGCTATTCAATTTTGATAAAAGAAAGAAGTTTTTTAAATTATTAACTTTTAATAAATTAATAGTAGAACAAGATTTTACAAAATTTTTATATTAGTTTTAATTTTATTTTATCAATATCATATAGTTATATATTATATTCAAAATGTTCAAATAGAGAATTTTTATATATTTCTTTCATTACTATTTTTATTTCAGTTTCTTTTAATACTTATAATGAATTAATAATATTTATTTGTCAGTTAATTTTATACAATAAATCATTTTTTATAACAAAATATCTAGATTATAATTGTAATTGTTTCTTTTATTATTTAATATGAGAATTATATTACTATTTTCATTTTTATTTTGACTTTTTACATTTTTATTATTATTAAGTTTTTATTATTACTTTTTATATCTCTATTATAACTGGCTTTTAATATAAGAAAGATATTTGAATTCATAATAAAAATTACAAAACTTTTTTATATTAAGAATTTATTAGTAATTTTCTTATATCAAATTTTAATTAGCCTTATATCAAAAGTTTCTTATATTAAATATTACTTGTATTATTAAAGTTTTCATTGTTACTTTCCATATTTTCATTATCATTGAAATCAGCACTAGCACTATTACCAATTGTCTTAAAATTACCATTATCCAATCCTATTTATATTTATTAAAGTTAATATTTCATCATCTATTGCCATGTTTATTTCATATTCTATTCTTATATTATATGTTTTTGCATTTTCTTGTCTGAATTATCTATTTTTGTGATGACTATTATTATAATCATTACCAGTACCAACAAATGGTAAAAGAAATTGAAGTTTAGTTTATTGATGTAACTATTTTCATGATCACTATCATAATTAAAGTTGCTATGACTGCTACTTGATGTATTTGTCATTTTATTTTATCTGATCTTTTTAGTAACAATATGATCTTAACTCAATAATTATATAATTTAATATAGTATGAGACACCTAGTCCCACAATTGCTGTATCATATGATCAAGTTGGAATATCTGGTTATTCTCCAGTTTATTGCAAAATGCACTTCATAAACTTAATTCTGGCCATATTATTGCAAATCTTTTTAATTTTGGCTGATAAACTTAATCCCAGAATGACGTCACGATGTCTTATCTCAACCAATTTATTCTCTTTTTTCTCTTGCCCAAATATTATCAAAGCAATATTGTACAACATAGAGATCCAATTTGAATGATCAATAAATTCTTAACGTTCAAAATTTAACATTAATTTTAATATTAGCCAAAATATAATACATTGTTCTTAATGCTAGCCAAAATCTAACACATTATTCTTAATGCTGGCTAAAATTAAGTGCCAAATTAGATGTAACATAATAAAGTCTATAAAGTTTAAACCCTTATACTAAAAGTTGTCCCGCACTATACATGTACTATCCTATTTAACACTATAAAGATCAATCAATCAAAAGCGTAAATATCCTAGTTTTAATGTTAAAGTGAGTACATATCGCATATTTACTAAAAATGTTATCCAAAATTGACATTATTATTCAAGCGGGGACCTCTTCCAGTGAGACGGAGACTACTAACCCGAGTGTTTGTGTTTTACTTTATGCTCTGTATTCAAGAAAACATGGATGAATTTTAGCACGAGATGCTTCGTTCCACTTTGGCTGCTTATCCGGAAACTACATTTGGTGAAATGCTTAAAGAACCACCAAAAGAGGTGGTGGAGCACAAAGAATATTTTTTTTATCGAAATGGAGAAGTGAGTTAATTTTAATTTAATCAAAATTATAATAGACAGTTATGTTTTATTGTACAATATAAAAGGCATTCGGATTCATCATGCAATTCTACCGCGAAGGCAAAATCAAGTGGTTCTAAAAGCAAATAGAAATAGAAAAACCAAATATAACCTTGATCCAACTTCTTGATGAACTAAAATACTTTCGCATCCCCATACGCGTGATCCATTTCCCGTCGACCTCGCCGAAAAATGGGCGGCTGACCTCCATAATTTCGTGTTGATGTTGAAATACGTGATCGAGACGATAATGCTTAATTACGAAAACACTATCACGTTCATATTCTACAACACGGTGCTCGGGGATGTAGCGCGAAGCCTTGTGCAGGATGTGGTAATTGGTTTCTCGGGGCCTGGGTATAGAATTCTGGAGAAGTTTGGGGACGGTAATTCATCATATCTAATTATATTTTTTCGGGTTTGGTCACAAGACATTCGTCGTCATTTAGAAACCATCATCTAGAATTTGACGTGGAACTTGACATACCTTCTTACACTTTTGTTCTCACTTGCCCATTTCTGCTTCAGCGTGAAGCAATATTGACGAAGGCTGGATTAAATATTGCGTAAGCCGTTTTTATTCTCGTCTTTTCTCTCTTTTTCTATGCGTTCCAACTCTTCCTCCAAGTTATTCCAAGGTCTTCAAGAAATGGCGATTTCTTTTACAGTTCTAATGAAGCGCGTGCCTCTTGACTACCATAATACTGGTCAAAAATTTCATTTTAATTTTAGCATGCTAGTTTTATTTTCGCATTACATATAAATGTACGTATATGTTACATGTTAAGTTAGCCAAAAGCGCTACTTAAACGTTTATAGCGATAGTAATAAAAGAATCTACATATATGTTCTAGGTTCCAAATCAACCTAATTGATTTGAAATCAACTTGCTATTCATATGCTCATAAAATAGTATTTCTATATCAATATATTCTTAACAACTGTTTTCTTATGATTGGTCTATCGATGAGTTTTTTGGTCATAAGGTGGACATAAAATAACTTTCGAGTCTGTTTGATTTCGCGACCTTATGATAAAAAAACATATCGATAAACTTATAGACTTAATAAGTGGAGCGGGATTTAACGATTCTAAAACGATTCAAATAACAAATCAGACTCGACATATAATTATTGTTATCTGTTATATCGATATTCCCTTTTTCTCAAAATTTCCAATCCATACTCATTAATCAACACATGATCCTCTTCCACAAACTTCAATACACAATGAAACGAACCCTCTAAATGATCACGCACATCAATAAACCGATAATTGATTTTAGAATTGACGTTTTTACAACACAACGCACACCTGAATATTTGTAATCTTTCAAGCCCGAGAATTAACGCTCGTGCAACATGGCTCAACTCGTTTGGATGTTTGCGATAATATTCGGCCTCAGCTTTGATTTGACATATTAGACAATAAAGCTGGCATTTTGTGAATGGAATTGACGGGTCGTTGTTGAAGAATATTAAGTTTTTATAGGTTGGACAGAAGCGAAGATATCTTAAGCAGGGATCTTTTAATTGGATTGGTGATCGCCATAATTGATCGATCCGATGTTCAATTTGAATTTGCCGTTGGCTGAACTCGATAGCAAAAGTGACAGCTGTATAAGTTTTCTTCATAGATTTTTTAATAGCAATCCAATCGTCATTAATCGGCTCGCTGATATTGCTCATCGCGCGACAATATGCAGGAGATCGTCGAAGATACGTCGATCGATAAACTTGCTCACCATCCAGAGATCGAATCTCACACAACTCGTCGATAATTGAGTCGATCATTGTTTGCTTGGTTTCACGAATGAGACATTTTCGATTTTGCGTGATGGAACTTTGCATTCGCGATTTGGCGTCATCCATGATTTTTAGTGTGCTTAGTTTTTGTTGATCTAGCCATAGACTTTTTTTCCTAGGGTGACATGAGATGTATCGGTACTCTGCTAATGTCCACTGGTATTTCCAGTAAAATCTTTCACTGCGAATTTCAATGTATGGCAATCCTTGAAGAATTGCTCGTTTTTCTTCTGGGGTGCAAAAATAATCGCAAATTTCTCTTTCGCTATAAAAGTACCGTCAATAAATGAAATACTTTTGAATGCTAAAGAAAACACAATTGGATAATTAAAGTGTACCATTTAATATTAGTTTTCAGACATCTATCACAACAACGTAATCTAAATGCCCAATGAACAACCAAGTTGACAACTCGACCACAAAGCTGACAATCTTCACGCAACCGCGCAAACTCTAGGTACGATTTCTCGTCCATTCCTTCAGGCGGCGGCAGAGATAGCGATGGATAATAACACAATCGTGAGCGCCGCCATATCTCTTGTGTCATGGAAGAATTCGGCGAGCATAAATATTCTCGATACAATTTGCATACGAACGTCAGGTTCAAGAGATCTGCAGGCGATAAGTCACGAACAATAGCAACGAAAATTTCAGGGGATAAGTGATTTACAACGCTAAATGAGGACAATGTAGTAGAAGTATTATGAGAAAAGCAAAGAGATGATGATTGATGGCGTTGCGTATGCGTGGTAATTGGCATTTTTCTTATTGCGAACCAAAAAAAGAAAAACATAAACCCTAATGGCAATAGTAACGGAGGCGCTTTGTAAGTTGAATAAAGACAAAATGCCGAATTGTAAAAAAACTCTACAAAGCAACTAAATAACATTAACGAATCGAAAAGGACGAGTTCATATGAGAGGAAGCGAACAAAGCTTTCTAAGAAATCTAATTAATCAAAAATAGAATCAATCGCAAAACAATTTTGTTATTCACTAATTCCTTTATGGTTTCTAAAAAAACCCTTTGGAAAGTGTTAGGAGGATCATATGAATATATAGTTTTATTACATGTACATGTACATGTATTATGAAGAACGACTGGTTACATGCCGATCTATCGATACTGTATTTTATTACATGTATTTGTATTATTTTTTATCTTCGATAAAATACTCAATTATAAAATCAAAGATCTAAATACAATATTATTGATAATATTATTGTAAATGTATCAAATCTAATCGTCTGAGAATGGTTCAGCCAGTACCATGACTACACGAAAATATTTTTGCGGGGTGTATAATCCATTAACTTTAATGATATTTCTTAAGTTAGAGAATTGCCTTGAAAAGCAACAATGATTTCGGATATGCCTTTTGTCTTTTTGTTTTGTGTGTGTATTTGTTTGACAAGACACTTTCTTCGATTGTTCTCACATGATAGTGAACTTGGAAGAGAAGTGGGTTGGAACCAGATTATTATTCCTTGTGTCAACGAGATGTGAGTAATGATGATGAAGAGAATCAAGTAATTATACAGACATTTTTTTACGCATATCGATATATATATACATATATATATTACCTGAATAAAGTAGCCTTATGAATTCATTTCATATTGGTCCGATTGTATGTCATATAGTGCTTATTAATGCATCAATATATCAAAATATACATACCGATACATAATACATGGTACAGTAATATCAAATAGAATCGGTCGATAAAAGTATAATTTTTAAATTTTACTGTTTTACGTTTCACAGATGTCAGTTTTTTGTTGAACAAAATACATGATGGTTTGAGATAACATGCGAGATTTGATTAGAATTTTGATAGATAGTACTTAAATTTTCTACAGAGGGGTGGTTTATGCGACAAATTAAACTTTAATTTAATCACAAGGCTATTACATGTAATTTAGTGATTGAAATTTGCACAAAATAACTGGTTTTATTAAAGAAATTGCACCAAATTAAGGTTTAAATTTACGACGGGGGCGGGGAAAGGATGAGGTGATGGTATAGGCTACAAATTACGTTATACGTATGTATTATTCGGTTATATGCATTATTCGGTTATATGCTTTCTTTATATTTAGTGACTTCCATAATTATCGTTATTGCAGCACAAGAAGTTTTATAGTAGTGCCTCTAATATCCATCTGATGCCCATAGTTCCTATACTAATTTTAAAGCTAATAACCTGAAGAATTTCTAAGCAATATATAAAAAATATTAGTATTGCAATTTCAAGAAAATCAAGTTATCGTATGTTGAATATGAGAGTAGTTTTTGTAATATTCTATTACAAACTTCTGCATTGTTAATCTAACTTTTTCTCTTTCAACTGGTGCTGTTTTTTATATCTGAAACTTCGACCACAAAGAAACCCACAAGTTTCTCGTTAATCCTTTCATTGTTTAGTGAAATTTGACGCCAAATATTTTCCTTTCAAACCTGTCAATTTTAGTTCGATCACAACGTTACACGCGTAAACAATAGAATTACGTACTGATTGAAATTTTAACATTTGGGAGTCATATCTAATTGCATGCAAGTAGTTTCATGGCGAACATTTTTTATTTATCGTTATGGAATTTTTCGGGATTTGCAATACTAATATTATATATATATATATATTAAGATTTCTCCAGGTTATTAGCTTTTAAACGAGTATAGTAACTATGGGCATTAGATGGTTATTTTGTTTATTTTACTTTTGAAGTTTTTGAGATTCTCTTATCGTTGTTCAGATAACAAAAATCTAACGCTAACACATTTATATTTTTATATTTAAAATTACGTACGTAGCGTGCTATACATACGTAATGATTATTCATGTACGTACATACATGTATCAAGATCGTTGGTATCACAAAGAACGCCGAAAGTAACTTTAACCCGTCTGTGAGGAAACCTGATATTTTCTATTCACCATTTATCTTATTCACATTAATTCTAGTTTTAGTAATTTTCATTTTTGACAATGAAAAAAGGGTTTTTTGTGCAAGTATTATTCGGTCAGTTTGATAAAAGGTTCCCGAAGATCCTTTCTAATCATATACGTACGCGTATATCTGTCATTCAAAAAGTAAATACCGATACTGTGGTTATCTCCTTTGGGTAATAATGATAAACTCAGAAAGGAAAATATCGATATTGTTAGCTAGATCTTCAATGAAAATCATAATACATTTTGGTATCAGATCCGATATCCCGTATCTTAAAATTAATTTTCTTGGAACCACCAAGAATGTTCAAATATCAAGCCTTTTTGTTCTTTTCATCATTATCTTCCTGGTAAACAGTATAATTGTTATCCCTTTGTAGAAAACTATAATTGTTATCCCTTTGTAGAAAACTTTTTGTTCAGTTTATGTTCAGGAGGAAGAAATGGATTACTTTCCTAGCCAAATCTTTTATCTTACCCAAAAAAAATTGTTAGGTTAGTTATTCTCTTTTCCGCACCTAGTTAAATCAACATCACCAAACAAATTGCCTTCAACGATAAGCAATTCAAGAAAAGAACTACCAGGCCAGGGCTTTAAACTTCAAGCGTGTATTTTATTCCAAGTACAGTATGATCATCAACAACAAAATACTACGTACCGCTACTACACTTCGATAAAAAGATTTAACCATTTATTTATCTTTCCTATTTCTCCATTTAACTTTGTTTTCTTTTGTGATATTTCAATGCAAATCTGTTATTTTAATAGATATTTGATGTGTTTATTCTTTACTGAATAAATAAAATCGTAACAGTAGCTCCGGGAAAGACGTAATTGATTTTTTTATGAACTGCGGTAAATCGATGGATATTGATTTATTGGATAAATCTATGCATTTTAATGTATTATTAACGTTGATTATTCGACAAAGATTATTATTATTGGCAACAAGTCTTATGGATTCTAACGATGCTGCGTGTTACAGCTTGTTCCCGCATTTATTTATCATTATACGATACATGTACTTGAAAAGTTTCCCATTTAATAACTCACAAAACGTCCAGATTTAATTATTTTCATCCTATCTCTAATATTTATAATTTGATTACAGGTAACCATCATTTATCGTTATCGCATCGCAAAAAAATAACAATGCTTTTTTGATGAATTTAAGTTTTGCTTTTTCATCCTTACAACTTTATTTGTTACATTCTTTTATTGAATTGAATGGACAATTTTGACAATATTAAATTTATTGCGTCTTTAGCAATCTAAATTATGCCTCCAGTCAAAGCATCTAAAGTCAATACACTCCGCGTAAAGACAAAAAATCAATTAAAAGGTATCTGGTGAATAATAATAGTAGTAGTAATAATAATAATAATAATAATAATAATAATAATAATAATAATAATAATAATAATAATAATAATAATA